CTCCTGGCTTCCCCTCCTTCCTGGCAGAGTATGAGGCTCACAAAGTCCTTGGCTAAACCAAAACATCATTGTTATCAGCTCTGTTCCCAGGCCAAAAGTCAAAACACTGCACTGCACCAGCTACCACAAAGGAGAAAAATGACTGCTACTGCTGAATCCAGGACAGGAGAGAATGCAACTTCAGCATCAGTGTTCTTCTACTGCCATGCTTTTGTGAGATATGTCTTGACTCTGTATGAGCCACAATATTAGCTCCTGTTCTAGTTGGTGTACTTTTTATTTCTGGATTTAAAACATGGCATGTTAATGCAGTTGGGTACCCACTGGTGTGATGGAAATATAGAACAGTTAATGAAATATTTATGCAGCATAAGCAGAAATATCCCTGTAGGGGCCTACAAGGATGCTGGAGAGGGACTCTTCACTAGGGACTGCAGTGATAGGAAAAGGGGTAACGGGTTAAAACTTAAACAGGGGAAGTTTAGATTGGATATAAGGAAGAAATTCTTTCCTGTTAGGGTGGTGAGGCACTGGAATGGGTTGCCCAGGGAAGTTGTGAATGCTCCATCCCTCTCAGTGTTCAAGGCCAGGTTAGACAGAGCCTTGGGTGGCATGGTTTAGTGTGAGGTGGCCTTGCCCATGGCAGGAGGCTTGGAACTAGATGATCTTAAGGTCCTTTCCAACCCTAACTATTCTATGATTCTAAATGTTAGAGTTCAAGGTTCTGGGCATGTTTGTAATGAAAATGTTTGGCATAGCTCCTGGATAATTAAGATGCCATGCGTTATCTCTTTGTGTATGGGTTACTGTCAACACCTCAGAATTATTGTGGGCATGGTAGCAGCAGGCAGCTACCACTGTAATTTGTTTGGTGTAAAAGCTAGACCTGAGAACTAGCAGTTCAAATTGGAGTTTGGCCATGCAGATGTTTTTGGAAATTTCATAAGCATTTGAAAATTCCCTGAGCCATGCCCCATTATAGCTGGGGGAGTAGTTATATCTGAAAAGCTCTTGGAGCAGTTGGAGTAAATGGCCCTAAACTGTACTGCTTGTGCGATTTAATATCCATTTCTGCACAAAGCAATTCTGAAAATATTTTACATATAGTGTAAGAGCAGAATGTAATTTTGCTATGTTAAAGTCTGTTGGCTCTCCTACAAACAGGAAATAGTTCACAGTTGCTTGATAATTGAAATTACCGAAGTGGGAAATTTGACTGAATTACATTTCCTTGTACAGAAAAAGCACAGTTATATACTCAGGGTTGACTGCGTTGCTCTGATTCTAATGTTTGCAAGTACTGCAGAAGTAGAAGCAAAAACAAACCAAACAAAAAAAAAAAAAACCAAACCAAAAACAAACAAACCCAACACCCCCCAAAAAGAACAAACCAGAAACAGGGTAGGTGTACATGAGCTATCCTGTGATTAAACATAACGCAATCTTAATGTCATTCTTTGTATATGATATCACAGTGGCTGTGCAAACTGGGTGAAACAGATTATAATTAAACTGTTGCTCTCTGTGGCATAGATGAATCATGAGTTGCTTTGGGTGTTTTCTGTCTGTGACCCTATTTCTGTTTCTGTGACCATGTTCTGTTCATCTTGAGCCACTTCTGTGTGCTGTCTTGGGATCACCCCACATCACACCCCTCAACTAAAAACTATGGTTCTGCAGGCACTTTACAGAAGCTCTTATGATGATGCTTAATTTCCAGATATGGATACTGATCATATGGTCCCATAACTTAGGTTGGAAACATTGCTTTGGAGGTGATGTAGCTAAAATATATATTTTTACTTCAACAGCTGTAGAGACAGAGAAGAGATTAAATGGAAACATTTCTGGATTTCCGAAGGGCAAACTTTGGCCTCTTCAATCAATTGCTATCACGCAGTATCATGGCAAAGGGTACTAGGTGGTAAAGGGGCTCAAGATAGTTGGTCAGCATTTAAGGACCACTTCTTCCAAGCTCAGGATCAGAGTGTCCCAATGAGTAGGAAGTCAAGTAGGGGAGCCAGGAGACCAGCATGGTTAAACAAGGAACTGCTGGGCAAACTCATACAGAAAAAGAGAATCTATGGATTATGGAAGGAGGGGCTGGCCACTTGGGAGGAATATAGGACAGCTGTTACAGGATGTAGGGAAGCAATTAGGACAGCTAAGGCCTCCTTGGAACTTAATCTGGCAAGTCGGGTCAAGGACAATAGAAAGGGCTTCTTCAAATACATAGCGAATAAAACTAATACAAGAAGCAGTATAGGCCCACTGCTGAATGAGGTGGGTGCCCTGGAGACAGAGGATATAAAGAAGGCAGAGGTGTTGAATGCCTTCTTTGCTTCTGTCTTTACTCCTGCAGACTCTCCCCGGGGGACCCAGATTCCTATAGCCCTGGAAGGAGTCAGGATAAAGGAGGAGTTTGCTTTGGTAGATGAGGATTGGGTTAGGGATCAGTTAAGTAATCTGGACATCTATAAATCGATGGGTCCAGACGGAATACACCCGCGGGTGCTGAGGGAGCTGGCGGAGGTCATTGCTGAGCCACTCTCCATCATCTTTGGTAAGTCATGGGAAACAGGTGAGGTGCCTGAGGATTGGAGGATGGCAAATGTCACGCCGGTCTATAAGAAGGGCAAGAAAGAGGACCCGGGTAATTATAGACCGGTCAGCCTTACCTCCATCCCTGGAAAGGTGATGGAACAACTTATTCTTGACACCATCTCTAGACATATCAAGGATGAGGGGGTCATTAAGAGCAGCCAACATGGCTTTGCCAAGGGGAAGTCATGTTTGACCAACCTTATAGCCTTCTATGAGCAAGTAACTAGGTGGATGGATGATGGTAGAGCGGTAGATGCGTTTTTTCTTGATTTCAGTAAGGCATTTGATACTGTCTCCCACAGCATCCTCATAGATAAGCTAAGGAAGTGTGGGCTTGATGATCAGGTAGTGAGGTGGATCAAGAACTGGTTGGAAGGAAGAAGGCAGAGAGTTGTGGTCAATGGGGCAGAATCTAGCTGGAGGTCTGTGACTAGTGGAGTCCCTCAGGGGTCGGTGCTGGGACCAGTGCTGTTTAATATTTTCATCAACGACCTGGATGAGGGAACTGAATGTACCCTCAGCAAGTTTGCTGATGATACTAAACTGGGAGAACTGGCTGACACACCAGAGGGCTGTGTTGCCATTCAGTGAGACCTGGACAGGTTGGAGAGTTGGGCAGAGAGGAACTTGATGAAATTCAACAAGGGCAAGTGTAGAGTCTTGCATCTGGGGAAGAACAACCCCATGTACCAGTACAGGTTGGGGGCTGACCTGCTGGACAGTAGTGAAGGGGAAAGGGACCTGGGGGTCCCGGTGGATAGGATGACTGTGAGCCAGCAATATGCCCTTGTGGCAAAGAAGGCCAATGGCATCCTAGGGTGAATTAGAAAGGATGTGGTTAGTAGGTCAAGAGAGGTTCTCCTCCCCCTCTACTCTGCCTTGGTGAGGCCGCATCTGGGATATTGTGTCCAGTTCTGGGCCCCACAGTTCAAGAAGGACAGGGAATTGCTTGAAAGAGTCCAGCGCAGAGCTACAAAGATGATTAAGGGAATGGAACATCTCTCTTATGAGGAGAGGCTGAGGGAGCTGGGACTCTTTAGCTTGGAGAAGAGGAGACTGAGGGGTGACCTCATCAATGTTTACAAATATGTAAAGGGTGAGTGTCAGGATGATGGAGCTAGGTTTTTTTCAGTGATGTCCAGTGATAGGACAAGGGGCAATGGGTGTAAACTGGAGCATAGGAGGTTCCATGTGAACATCAGGAAAAATTTCTTTACTGTGAGAGTGACAGATCACTGGAACTGGTTGCCCAGGGGGGTTGTGGAGTCTCCTGCGTTGGAGATATTCAAGGCCCGCCTGGACAAGTTCCTGTGTGATGTCGTGGTTTAAACCCAGTCAGGTAACTCGTTCACTCACTCCCCCCCTTCTTGCCCTCCCCCTACTCCCGGAGGGACGAAGAGGAGAATCGAAAAGAATGCAACTCCCACGGGTTGAGATAAGAACAGTTTAGTAACTAAGGTATAACACAAATCACTACTGCTACCACCAATAATAATAATGATAAAGGAAATAACAAGGGAAGAGAATACAACACCTCACCACCAGCCAACCGATAACTCGCCCCCCCAGCCTGACCAAGCACTGACCCATACCTCCTCCAACCTTGCAGTCTCCCAGCCCTTCCGGCTAAATCCCAGTTACATCCTGGGCATGACGTGCTGTGGTATGGAATACCTCTTTGGCTAGCTTGGGTCAGGTGTCCTGTCTCTGCTTCCTCCTGGCTTCCCCTCCTCCCTGGCAGAGCATGAGGCTCACAAAGTCCTTGGCCAAGCCAAAACATCATTGTTATCAGCTCTGTTCCCAGGCCGAAAGTCAAAACACAGCACTGCACCAGCTACCAAGAAGGAGAAAAATGACTGCTACTGCTGAACCCAGGACATGTACTCTAGGTTACCCTGCTCTTGCAGGAGGGTTGGACTAGATGATCTTCTGAGGTCCTTTCCAACCCTTAGGATTCTGTGATTCTGTGAAATCCTCACTAAGCTGAGAAAGTTGGGGCTGTTCAGCCTGGAGAAGAGAAGGCTGTGTGGATACCTCATAGCAGCCTTCCAGTATCTGAAGGGGGCCTATAGGGATGCTAGGAAGGGACTCTTCATTAGGGACTGTAGTGATACGACAAGGGGTAACGGGTTAAAACTGAAACAGGGGAAGTTTAGATTGGATCTAAGGAGGAAATTCTTTCCTGTTAGGGTGGTGAGGCACTGGAATGGGTTGCCCAGGGAGGTTGTGACTGCTCCATCCTTGGCAGTGTTCAAGGCCAGGCTGGACGAAGCCTTGGGTGAGATGGTTTAGTGTGGGGTGTCCCTGTCCATGGCAGAGGGGGTTGGAACTAGATGATCTTAAGGTCCTTTCCAACCCTAACCCTTCTATGATTCTATGAAAGGCGTCAGTGGTAATGAGAGTTTTTTTTAATGCTTTCCCTTGTATTAATTCTATAAGTAACTTACAAACCAAATTGAAACCCTTGCCGATGACCCCATTCCTGTTTTGTTGACTCTTTTCTAGTCTCCGTTTTGCCATATACAGTGCGCACAACAAAAGAAACAGACGCAAGTGTGGACCTAGCCTCCAAATTTACAACTGAGAAGGTACCTTAGGAGGAAAGTAGTTCGGCTTTTATTTGCTTGCTATGTGTTGCTCTTGTCCTTTTAATTGTGAGCTTCTTATATGAATGAGACTCATAGGGAGAAGAAATTGTCAGATGTGACAGACTGGTAGAGACGTGACTCTGTGTTGATCAGGGATGTATAACGTAATTAAAATGTTGGGGAGCTCTGTCTGAATTACAGTAGTTTGGATGATAATGAGAAAGGAGTAACTTCCTGAAATTAACTGAGCAAAGAGCATGAAGCCATTCACAAGGCAATTCTGGAAAAACATTTTGCTGAAAAAGGAAGATGATATACTGTATACTGAACTCAACCTTTAAAATGTTTGGGGAACAGTCTGGCTTGCGAGACTTGTGATTTCTTTATGTACTTTTTTTTTAATACCTGCATGGGTATTAACATCTTGACTGTTTGCATTTGCAGCATTCCCAGATCTTCAACTTCCTTAGAAACCAGGGTGCTGAGTGTCGTGGTTTAAACCCAATCAGGTAACTTGTTCACTCACTCCCAGTGAGTGGTCCCGAGCTGACAACAATCGAGGTCCGTGTCCCCCCCCTCCCACCGGGGTTCTCCCCCACTCCTGGAGGAACGGGGAGGAGGATCGAAAAAAAGTGCAACTCCCACGGGTTGAGACAAGAACAGTCCAGCAACCAATGCACACAAATCACCACCGCTACTATCAACTACAACAATGATAAGGGAAAATAACAAGGGAAGAGAATACGATACCACCGGCCAAGAATACGAGTTCCACCCGGAAGCCCGTGTCCTTCCGGGTAACTCCCAGTCACCCCCCCACCCCGGCCATGACGTGCTGTGGTATGGAATACCTCCCTGGCTAGCCCGGGTCAGGCGCCCCGTCTCTGCTACCTCCCGGCTTCCCCTCCTCCCTGGCAGAGTATGAGCCTCACAAAGTCCTTGGTCAGGGTAAACATCACTTAACAACAACTGAAAACATCGACTTCACCAACACTGTTCTCAGGCTGGAAGTCAAAACACAGCACTGCACCAGCTAGCACAAAGGAAAAAAAAAACATGACTGCTACTGCTGAACCCAGGACATTATCCACCCCTTATTCCATACCATTCACGTCGTGCTCAGATCCCACATTTTCAATACACCATCGCTCTCCCATATATATACATCCATATACATACAGACCAAGAGGAAAAGATCATTTTCTTAGTGCATGGACCAATCCCTATAATGCTGCCGAGTCCATTCGGTCCATGATGTTCAAAGTTCATTCTCTGTTGGGATGATGGCTGGAGGGAAGTCAGGGCCAGTCTCTGGTGACCTGGAGACATCTAGTTGATGGGCGATTAAAGCATTACACAGCAGGCAACAGCATACAATTGAGTTCACTGGCTGTTTTCCCCTAAAATCAAATCCCCTTGAGGTATACATCGGACTTCCCCATCTTCCTGCATTACCCACCAAGTATATCCAGGTCCCTGAGCAAAAGCAATCCCACGAGTGGGTTTGCCTTTACCTGAAGCAGGAATTACCCAGACTGTCTTCCCCAGCAAATTCTTCATATGCACCACGGGAACTTTGTCCCCCTCTACAATATGTAAAAGTTCTGACTGGGCTGGGCCAGCCCTGTTGGCAGATCCTCTGGTGTTGACCAACCAGGTGGCCTTTGGTAAGTGTGTATCCCAATGCTTGAAAGTTCCCCCACCCATTGCTCTCAGTGTAGTTTTTAACAGCCCATTGTACCGTTCGATTTTCCCAGAGGCTGGTGCATGGTAGGGGATGTGATATACCCACTCAATGCCATGCTCTTTGGCCCAAATATCTATAAGGTTATTTCGGAAATGAGTCCCATTGTCTGACTCAATTCTCTCTGGGGTGCCGTGTCGCCACAAAATCTGTTTCTCAAGGCCCAGGATAGTGTTCCGGGCAGTGGCATGGGGCACAGCGTATGTTTCCAGCCACCCGGTGGTTGCTTCCACCATGGTAAGCACATGGCGCTTGCCTTGGCGGGTTGGTGGCAGTGTGATATAGTCAATCTGCCAGGCCTCCCCATATTTATACTTCAACCATCATCCTCCATACCAAAGAGGCTTTAACCGCTTGGCTTGTTTAATTGCAGCACATGTTTCACACTCATGAATAACCTGGGCAATAGTGTCCATTGTTAAGTCCACCCCTCGATCACGGGCCCATCTATATGTTGCATCTCTGCCCTGATGGCCTGAAGTGTCATGGGCCCACCGGGCCAAAAATAATTCACCTTTATGTTGCCAATCTAAGTCCATCTGAGCCACTTCAATCTTAGCCGCTTTATCCACTTGTTGGTTGTTCTGGTGTTCCTCAGGGGCCCGACTCCTGGGTACATGGGCATCTACATGACGTACCTTCACCACCAGGTTCTGCACCCTGGCAGCAATATCTTTCCACAGTGCAGCAGCCCAGATGGGTTTACCTCTGCGATGCCAGTTGCTCTGCTTCCTTTGCTTCAACCACCCCCACAGGGCATTTCCCACCATCCATGAGTCAGTATAGAGATAAAGTACTGGCCACTTTTCTCGTTCAGCAACGTCCAGGGCCAGCCGGATGGCTTTCACCTTGGCAAACTGACTCGATTCACCCTCTCCTTCAGCAGTTTCTGCAACTTGTCGTCCAGGACTCCATACAGCTGCCTTCCATCGCCGATGCTTTCCCACAACACGGCAAGAGCCATCAGTAAACAAGGCATACTGCTTTTCACTTTCTGACAGTTTATTATATGGTGGGGCCTCTTCAGCGCGCACCACCTCCTCCTCTGGTGACATTCCAAAATCTTTGCCCTCTGGCCAGTCCATGATGACTTCTACAATGCCTGGACGACTGAGATTTCCTATTCGAGTTCGTTGTGTCATTAGTGCAGCCCATTTACTCCATGTAGCATCAGTTGCATGATGTGTAGAGGAGACCCTGCCTTTGAACATCCAGCCCAGCACGGGCAACCGGGGTGCCAGAAGGAGCTGTGCTTCAGTGCCAATCACTTCCGAAGCAGCTCGAACCCCTTCATAGGCTGCCAGTATCTCTTCCTCAGTTGGGGTATAGCTGGCCTCAGATCCTTTGTATCCCCGACTCCAAAAGCCGAGGGGTCGACCTCGAGTCTCCCCTGGAGCTTTCTGCCAGAGGCTCCAGGTAGGACCGTTCTCCCCAGCTGCAGTGTACAGTACATTTTTTACATCTGGTCTGGTCCGGACTGGTCCAAGGGCTACTGCGTGAACTATCTCGCGTTTAATTTGCTCAAAGGCTTGTTGCTGCTCAGGGCCCCATTTAAAATCATTCTTCTTCCGGGTCACATGATAGAGAGGGCTTAAAATCAAACTGTAATTTGGGATGTGCATTCTCCAGAACCCCACTGCACCCAAGAAGGCTTGCGTTTCTTTCTTATTGGTTGGTGGAGACATTGCTGTTATCTTGTTGATCACATCTGTGGGGATCTGTCTACGTCCATCTTGCCATTTTATTCCCAAAAAATTGAATCTCCTGTGCAGGTCCCTTGACCTTACTCCGTTTTATGGCAAAACCGGCTTTCAGCAGGATTTGGATTACTTTCCTCCCTTTCTCAAAGACTTCTTCCGCAGTATCGCCCCACACAATAATGTCATCAATGTATTGCAGGTGTTCTGGAGCTTGTCCCTGTTCCAGTGCAGTCTGGATCAGTCCGTGGCAAATGGCAGGGCTGTGTTTCCACCCCTGGGGCAGTCGGTTCCAAGTGAACTGGACACCTCTCCAAGTAAAAGCAAACTGTGGCCTGCACTCTGCTGCCAAAGGAATGGAGAAAAATGCATTGGCAATATCAATCGTGGCATACCACTTGGCTGCCTTTGACTCTAGTTCATACTGAAGTTCTAGCATGTCCGGTACGGCAGCACTCAATGGTGGTGTGACTTCATTCAGGCCACAATAGTCTACTGTTAGTCTCCATTCTCCATTAGACTTTCGCACATTAAAATGCCATTCAAAAAATTCAAAACTCTCAAATGTAAATGGTCTGGGGGGACGACTGGGAGGGTAAAAGAATGTCTCCTTCACAGGTTGAGCACCTGAGAAGGAGAAAAAAGATGTGCAATTTCTAAGCACCTCCATCATATACCTCCCAAAGTATAAAGGTGGTGACCACACTGGGAACATAAGCCAGATCAGTTTCATGATCAATGATTCTATTGTATTACAAGTCATTACCATAAAGTACAATGGGACAAAAACCTTAGCCCAAGCCCCAAACTTGAAAAACACTAATACAGCAAATACCGGATGGACGTAAGATACGATATACTGAAACTGTGAGATCAAGAGGAACAACCTTGAGAGCCAATAAATCAGCATTGTGACGAGTGACTACCAATCCAGTCAGATCTGTTCTTATCTCAACCCCTCGTGCCCCACGTTGGGCGCCAAAAAGAACTGTCGTGGTTTAAACCCAGTCAGGTAACTTGTTCACTCACTCCCAGTGAGTGGTGCCGAGCTGACAACAATCGAGTTCCGTGTCCCCCCCCCACCGGGGTTCTCCCCCACTCCCGGAGGAACGGGGAGGAGGATCGAAAGAGTGCAACTCCCACGGGTTGAGACAAGAACAGTCCAGCAACCAATGTACACAAATCACCACCGCTACTATCAACTACAACAATAAGGGAAAATAACAAGGGAAGAGAATACGATACCACCGGCCAAGAAGACGAGTTCCACCCGGAAGCCCGTGTCCTTCCGGGTAACTCCCAGTCACCCCCCACCCTGGCCATGACATGCTGTGGTATGGAAACCTCCCTGGCTAGCCCGGGTCAGGCGCCCCGTCTCTGCTTCCTCCCGTCTTCCCCTCCTCCCTGGCAGAGCATGAGCCTCACAAAGTCCTTGGTCAGGGTAAACATCACTTAACAATAACTGAAAACATCGACTTCCCCAACACTGTTCTCAGGCTGGAAGTCAAAACACAGCACTGCACCAGCTAGCACAAAGGAAAAAAAAACACATGACTTCTACTGCTGAACCCAGGACACTGAGTACTTAAGATTTTCATGCTGTTTACTTTAACTTTTCTGAGGGAGTTTTGGCTGAGTAGCTGAAGGGAGATGCGGTAATTCCCTGCTGAAATCCCTCACAAGATCCCTCCGAGCCCTTGCTTGTGAGTGCAGGCTGAGTAAACTTGGAGTAGTTTATTCAGCTTGTCTAGATGGCAAACAGCCTGCCCAGGGTGCCTTGGGTTGAAGGTTAATAGGTCTGGCAAATGCAAAGTAGTTATGTGATGGAGAGGGCAGCCTGTAGTTTAGACATGAATCCAGAGCCTGAACAAAGTTCTGCAGTCTTCAAACATTTCATTTTCATTTCAGAAATGTCTGACATCAAGCTGACACTCAGCAGGCAGCATTGTCGGTTGTGTGGGTTTTGGCATTGACTTGAGATCTCAGTCAGAGAGCCTTCAGACTTGGACACCCCTGCTCTCAGAGGGGGGATTTACTAGGTATAGGAGAAAAGCAGGATGAAGAATGATTGATGGAGGAGTGAACAGGAAGAACAATCAGACAGCTCAGAAAAGGATCTGAGGGATTGGATGAAAGATGCCAGGGGTATTCCGGGAACAAAAAGCAAGACCTCATTCATCTCCCATGTATAGGAATTGAATATGTAAAAATTAGTGGCCTTTCTTAAAATAAAAGAGTCCTAACTGTTAACTGAAAAAGAATGAGTGGCCCCGGAGGTATGCTAGTAATAGTTGTGACATTGAATCAATGATTGGAGCCTTTGGACTGTTGAAAGGTATGGATAACAAGGAACATCAGGCCCCGACCCTTGGATACCTACCCAGAAGAAAATGGGCGGTAGATGGGTAAAAGGTAATTTTTGCATGGGGCAGTGCAGCCACTGACTGGAGAAACCCAATTCAAAAGAAGAGAAAGACTGAGCATGGTGCCTGATTAGCATGAGAGGCGAGAGGGACTTTTAACCAATAAGGGGTGGAATATTAATTAATGAATAAATTGTGTAACTCTCAACCAATGGGCACTGATTCCTTTGTCAAAATATATAAATAGCTTAAAGTTGCAATCATTGGAGTGCTTGATTTGTGGAGACTTCCACTGAGTACCTGTAATGGATGGGAACATAGCTGAGAGTTTATTCTCAATGGTGACTGAGAGACATAACAAAGTAGTTGTTTGCCACAGTGTATTAGGTAGAGTATTAGGTGACTGTTTGTCATAAAGAGGCAGGAAAATATAGGTGTGCAGCTGTTCTGTGACCTTCATAATTGGCTGCACTGGGGTGCCTGGCCAATGCTCTCAGTGTGGGCAACGGTGAGATCATGAAACTTCACGGTCCCATGAGAAAACAGAGATCTGGCATAAAGCCAGATGTTTTTCTAAGGGTATAAAAGCAGGACTCTCTTGTGGCCATGGGAGAAGCCTCACCTATGGGTGGATGCACAGCATAGGAATTTTCCCAATTACCTGAGACTCCTGGCATCAGCTGCAATGGGGCTTCCCAGCTGGAAGTGTGGGCCTGAATGATGATTCATTTGTAATTGGTGATGGATTTCTTCTTAATCTCTGTTCTTTCTATGCAGCAATGATTTAATGCATTGCTAACTTTCTTCGGTACTTATATACCTGTATCTCTGATTTGCCTTATTGTACTTATTCACTATATATAGAGAGATATTTACCTAATTCACATTAGTGTGCTTGTTTTAGTGTGCTTATTGGCTTTAGTGTGCTTGTTTAATAAACTCTGCATATTATACAGCTAGTGTGTGGTCACTTTGTGGGGTACCCTGCCTGTCAGCAGAACAGTACCCTGTGCAGAAAAGATAATGTCTCCTTTCTAAACTAGTGCATCCTATTTTCTATAGGATGCACTGTAATTTTCTATAGGATGCAGCTACAGCATGTGGCAAAAAGCCCAGGTTCCTGTTCCTGCCTTCATCCTCCATTTTTTTAAATCATTTTGAGGATATCCTCCCTCATGAATTGAGGTTTAAAGAGTAGTTGTAAAATTGTTTTGGGGGGAGGGGTGTGTGTGTGTGTTGAGATCCTGGTTTGGCCAGATGCCAGTTCCTAAACTGACTTACAACAGCTTCCAAGGAATTTATGATGCTTTCTAGATTTAAATTCTTATATGTGTCATCGCACCTCAGAGCTGTATGTACAAAAGGAAAGGTGTAATGCCTTCATGTATATATCCTTTACAAGGAAGGAAATGTTTTGGTACTGGAGCATCTTGAAAGCATACCTCAGTTAATAGCTGGTTTTAAATAGTTATTGCATGCCAGCCATTTTGTGAGTGTTGCAAGCAGTGGGGAGTGCAGTATGGCATTTCTTTAATTTGTAATGTTAATGATCCAGTTTAAGTCATGTAAAGTTAGCACAAGATACCAAACCTATAAGTGCATGTGATTATCGCTGGTGCTTATGCATGAGAAGAGCCTGGAGGGAAATAAGATGTTAAATATACTCTATCATGATTGAAAGGAAAGAAAGGACCAGGGACTTCCTTTGCTGCTGGTTTCTCAGAGGGAAATCTTAACAGAAATCATGTAATTACTCCCATTTTTCTTCCGTGTCCCTCAGTTGCTTTCCCAAAGTATTTGGTCTGCTTACTGAGTTGGTGCTTCCTCTCTTACTCCCAGGACCCAGGATTAGTCATACATCATAATCTAAAGAAAGGGGACTTTCTTCCCTGGCTTAAAAGCAGGCTTCTTTCTTATTAAGATGGATGAGGAGAGGCACCTGAAAAGATCAGGGATGTTATCAGCTTACACCAAATCAAAATCATCTCTGTTGACTTTCTGCATGACAAATCAGTCTGTAAACCAGGCTTAAAATCCTCCAGTAACAGCAATTCCATAACTTCATCAGGCAAATGCACAGCTGCTTAGCCTTACCTCTATAATTTTCCTTGCAATCCTGCTGCAATTTAAAGTAATTTAAATAATTTAAGTAATTTAATTTAAATTTCCCCTGTTCCTGGATGATTGAAGCTTCTACCTTTTATTTATAGGACTGTGTCATGGTTTAAAGCCAATTAGCCGTAAATCACACAATCTCTCACTCCCCCCCCTTCTTTCCCTCCCCCTACTCCCAGAGGGATGGAGAGGAGAATCGAAAAGAATGCAACTCCCACGGGTTGAGATAAGAACAGTTTAGTAACTAAGGTATAACACAAATCACTACTGCTACCACCAATAATAACAATGATAAAGGAAATAACAAGGGAAGAGAATACAACACCTCACCACCAGCCAACTGATAACTCACCCCCCCAACCGACCAAGCACCGACCAATACCTAGTCCAACCCCTCAGTGCTCTAGTCCTTCTGGCTAACTCCCAGTTACATCCTGGGCATGACGTGCTGTGGCATGGAATACTTCTTTGGTCAGTTTGGGTCAGGTGTCCTGTCTCTGCTTCCTCCTGGCTTCTCCTCCTCCCTGGCAGAGCATGAGGCTCAGAAAGTCCTTGGCCAGGCCAAACATTTGAGCAGTAACTAAAAACATCAGAGTTATCAGCACTGTTCCCAGGCCGAAAGTCAAAAACACAATGCTGCACCAGCTACCAAGAAGGAGAAAAAATGACTGCTACTGCTGAACCCAAGACAGACTGCTGTGGGGATTACATCTTCCTTGAAATAATGGGCTCCAAAACTGAATGTTTAAGATGTAGTCTGAGGGATGTGGAGGAGAACATGAGAGTCTTCTGTGAGTTTTGCAGGTTCCATTCCTGGGATGGAATAATGCTGGGCACAAGTATAAATTGGCAGAGGAATGGCTGGAGAGCAGCCCTGCAGAAAGGGGTCTGGGGGTGTTGGTCAACAGCAGCCTCAATAAGAATCAGCAGCATGCCCTGGCAGCCGTGAGGGCAAACTGCATCCTTGGGTGCATCACAGTACAACCAGACGGTCAAAAGAGGTGATTATCCCACTGTATTCAACATTGATGCAGCCTCACCTTGAGCACTCTGTGCAGTTCTGGCCCCCACAGTTTAAGAAGGATGTTAAGGGACTAGAGTCCATCCAGAGGAGGGTGACAAAGCTGATTAAGGGGCTGGAAGGCATGTCCTATGAGGAGTGACTGAGGACTTAGGGCTTGTCTAGAAGGAGGCTGAGGGGCAACCTCTTTGTTCTCTACAGCTTCATGAGAAGTGGAAAGGGAGGTGCTGAGTTCTTCTCCCTGGTATCCAGTGACAGGATGTGTAGGAATGGTTCAAAGCTGTGCCAGGGGATTTTCAGACTTTACATTAGGAAACATTTCTTTGCTGAGAGGGTGGTCAACCCCTGGAACAGGCTTCCTAGAGAGGTGGTGGATGCCCCAAGCCTTTCAGTGTTTAAGAGGCATTTGGGCAATGGCCTTAATAACATGCTTTAACTTTTGGTCAGGCAGTTGGACTAGATCATTGTAGGTCCCTTCCAACTGAACTATTCTGTTCTGTTCACATCATCTGGCTTGACACAGGTTACACCGCATAGCTGAGATTTTGATGTCGGGGTCAGAGCTGAATGCATTGGTCTAGGGAAGCTTGTAAAAAAGGATAAAATTGCCAAGTGAATTCCAGTAGTGAAAGCCCATAGTGAATGTCGGTGTGCTCCTAGGCATTCACAAGCAAAAGGCTAATTAGTCAAATAAATGTTTTTTCTGAGTGGATGAGCTATAGAGAGAAATGTATCCATTCAGTATGCACAGAAGTAAAGTGTGTTCAATGCAGAGGCAGCTCCAGCCAAGCTGCTGTGGGAATGATGTCTTCGTACAGCTGGGGTTTGTTACTATGGAGTCCTGTGAATTTCTGCAGAACATATATGAAGTGATGGATGGGAAATATAACAGTGCCTTGATGCTCCTGGGACATGGACTGATAAATGCTAGCACTGGGGATGCTGTCTCTGGACCAGCTGTTTCCTTTTGGTTCCATTTTACTCTTTGGAGGGGAGCGGTCCCAGCTCATGCATGCAGTGGTGATTGCCCAGACTCTGCTGGTGCTTTGCGATCCCTCTGCACCAGTTGTGAGCCTGTTGTGTAGCGGTAATGTGTTCCCCTGTGGCTCTGCTGTAGAGGTGCAGTGCTATTGAGGCATAAAAGCATCATTCCAAACCTTGGAGATGAATTGCTGGTGTGGACTGGTGTTATGGACTCTGCTAGTGTGGACTGGTGTTGTTATGGACTCTGCTGGTTGTTATGGACTTCAGCATCCCCACCTCCAGTGTCAGGGGCAGGGGTGCAGTCTCCACCAGTTGCCAGGCCTCTGTATTCAGTAGGGGGAAAGGAAGACACATCTCCAGGGATGGACTCATCTCCTTTTAAGATGAGTGTCTATGGAGGGGATGAATTGCTCTTTGAAAATCATCTTTGTCTTCTCTGGTGATCTAGGAAGTCTTTTCTATTTGGTTTAGAGCCCAGCTTTGACATTGCTCTATCCAGACAAGAGTCCAGATCCTCAAAGGCAACTCAGAACATTTCTCCCCTCCCACTGTTCATGCAAATGGATGTCTAACGTCACTGGCAGGTTACCCACAAGGAGAAGCTACTGTCAGCGCATCAGCTTCCAAGTAGCTGGTTTTGATTTGAAGAGTTTAAGTATAAATTTAACAGTTTAAACCTGAGCCAGTCCAGGCAGCCTTTCCCTGCTATGTGAACTGCAGGCTCTGGGTTCCTTCCATATGGAAGCTCATGTGTTCAGGTGCTGGAATGCACCAGCTCAGGAGGCAGTATCTGGCCATCACACCATGTCCTTTACTATATATAACATGTCTACTCGATGCCTTCCTGCAGCCAGCGGGTTGGAGCTCCAAGGACATGGTTGTGTTCAGTAGCACTAGGAAGAATCCAGCTCTTAAAATCATAGAATCATAGAATGGTTAGGGTTGGAAAGGACCTTAGGATCATCTAGTTCCAACCCGCTTGCAGGGACACCTCACACTAAACCATCTCATCCAAGACTCCATCCAACCTGGTCTTGAACACTGCCAGGGATGGAGCATTCACAACTTCCTTGGCCAACCCATTCCAGTGCCTCACCACCCTAACAGGAAAGAACTTCTTCCTTATATATAACCAAAACTTCACCTGACTGCCATGATTTTTCAAATATGATGACCAGTGACTTAGCAACTTCATTCACCAGCTCCTTCAGGACCTGCAGATGGATTTCATCAGGTCCCATGGACTTGTGCACGTTCAGGTTTTTAAGATGGTCTCAAACCATATCCTCTCCTACAGTGGGCCCAAGGTCTTCATTCTCACAGTCCCTGCATCTGCCTTCCAAGACTTGGGTAGTGGGGTCAGAGCCTTTGCCAGTGAAGACCGAGGCAAAGAAGTCATTCAGAACCTCAGCCTTCTTCAAGTCCTGCGTAGCCAGCTCTCCCGATAGCTTCCAGATGGGGCCTATGTTGTCCTTTGTCTTTTATTCGCTACATACCTATAGAATCCCTTCCTGTTATCCTTAACATCCCTAGCCAAGTTTAATTCTAACTGGGCCTTAGCTTTCCTATCCTAGTCCCTAGCTTCCCAGACAACATCCCTGTATTCTTTCCAGGCATCTTCTTTCCGGGTATCCTTGACCATTGCCGGTCAGTTGCTGAGGTGAGTAGCTCGAGAGAGAATGCCTTCAACAATGGAGCGGGGGGAAGCTCAGCGTCCAGGAGCCTCAATTCAGAGCAGCAAGAGCCACCGAGGAAGCCTCAAGTCCTCGAAAGGACTTTCCCAGGAGCCAGCAGCTCAACAGACGCAAGCAGCTGACTCACAGGTGGCAGCGCCA